CAACTGAAGTTCTTCTTTGCACTCCAGGTAACCAGACTTTCCATAGTCTGATTGCTGGAAATAATGTGGAGCCAATTACATGTATAATTTAGTTGTAGTCACTGTCAGCCAAGTGTAATTTATTTGTAGTTATCAGAACCCTAAGTTGAATTTATTTGTAGTAACCAACTCCCAAGTTAAATTTATTTGTAGTGACCAACTCCCAAGTTGAATTTATTTGTAGTGACCAACTCCCAAGTTGAAATTATTTGTAGTGACCAACTCCCAAGTTGAATTTATTTGTAGTGACCAACTCCCAAGTTGAATTTATTTGTAGTGACCAACACCCAAGTTCAATTTATTTGTAGTGACCAACACCCAAGTTCAATTTATTTGTAGTGACCAACACCCAAGTTCAATTTATTTGTAGTGACCAACACCCAAGTTCAATTTATTTGTAGTGACCAACACCCAAGTTCAATTTATTTGTAGTCAGCCTTATACCCAAGTACAACTTACTATGCACAGCATATGTATCACGTTACAGCAGATTTGATCTTTGCAACTGATTAACTTAGACTTGGTACATATTGGGTATTGCCTTGTGGGAGAAAGAGGATTAAAATACCCAGCTCATTTTCACTCAAACACCATGTCTCGCTCCCATACAGCAATGCTGATCTCACACAACTCTTATAAACTACTCCTTTCATCTCCAAGGGAAATGTCTTCCCATATAGTAGCTCTCCACATTCCCTAAACGTCACCCAAGCAAACCTTGCTCTAGCTGTCACAGCCGCCTCACACCCACCACCCACACTTACCTTGTCCCCCAGGTATGTAAACTCCTTCACTGACTCAACCTCATCACACAACTTTTCTTCCTGTTCCACCACCCTTCCAACTCCATTCTTACATCTTCCACATGCAAAATTCCTTGCCAATCTTTGGGTCACCCTCTTCATCTTTGCACATCTCCCATGTATCCACTTCCCACATTTCACACACCGCACTGAATTTGCCTTTACCCTCTTTCCACACATGCCACATTGGTCAACCTTACTCACCAAGGCTTTCTCCTCCGTCCCACTCACCATCACTTTTGTCTTTCATGGCACGAATCAATCTCCCTTCCACTACACCAATTAGTGTATGCTCGCCATTTCGAGTCATAGGCAGTGTTGGTGGAATCCCTGTTCACCCTGGCCAGGACATTGGCAGCCTGCTTAGATAGACCTTTCGTCTGCGCGAGTCTACTGAGAGCCTCCATGCGTGTAAGTGGTACACTGCTGGGCTTGTTGGCAGTGCGCCGTCCGGTTGGGACAGCAAGTCCAGTAAGTCCAGAAGCACTACTGGTGTTTCCCTAGCAGGAGCAGAAACCAGGCCTTGGTCGACCAATTGGGCGCCACCAGAGTTAATATGCAGGTGGGCTCCTGTCGAAGTTTCTCCAGTACCCCGTGAATTAGCATTCATGCGGGACCACGAGATCGATAAGGTGTCCACGGCCCAGGCTCCTGGTGTCGGCAGGAGTGTTACGTACGTCGGAAGCTTAGCGTTCCGGGGTGCGGCAAACAGGTCTATTTTTGGACCGTCCCACAGCCGAAACAGCCTAGAGTCTACCAACTGGGGTATCTGCCACTCAGTGTTATGGAGACGGAGCCGCCTCGAAAGGACGTCTGCCAGACCGTTTCTCACCCCTGGAAGGTAGTGTGCGGTTAGCTCCACATTGTATTCCAGGCACCAAAGGAGAATTTGCTCTGCTAGGACTGACAACGATGGGGAATGCGTCCCCCCTCCTTGTTGATAAAGGAGACCACCGCTGTGTTGTCTGTGCGGAGCAGGACTCTGCGGTCTCGAACTACGGGTAGAACGCATAATAGTGCTTGGTACACTGCTTTCAGCTAGAGCCAGTTGATATGGTGGTCCCAAACCCACTGCGGGGGCCATATTCCTTGGGCATTCCGATGAGCCGCATTAGTTAGAGGGACACTGAGGGTACGGTGACTAGGCGTTCTGCTAGGTTGCTTAGCGCTAGGCAACGCGCTTGAACCAGGCCTACCTCAGTGTTGAACTCCATGCCCAGAAACACCAACTGTTAAGTCGGATCGAAATGGAACTTTTTCTGATTTACTTGGAAGCCCAACTGGTGGAGTAAATCCTGCGTTAGCCTTACTTGTCTGGCTAATAACCCCTTGTCTGGGTTGTGTAACAACCAGTCGTCTAGGTACGGATTGATGTGTACCAACATTTGGTGGAGCAGCAGTACTACCTGTTTCATCACTCTGGTGAACACGTAGGGCGCTGTGCATAATCCGAAGAGGAGCACCCGAAATTTGCATACTTGGCCCAGGTGGGCGAATCAAAGGAGAGAGCAACTCGCTAGATGCATCGGTATGTGCAGGTATGCATCGCATAGGTCTAAGAGGCTAGCCAGTTGAAACGGTGGATGGAGAGTAGGACACTGGATGGTGTCTCCATGCGGAACCAATCGAGAAGCACATACTGATTTAGTCTGCTTAGGTCCAGAACCGGACGCCAGCCACCTGTAGCTTTGGGTACTACGAATACATTTGAGTAGAAGCCCGGACTTAGCGCCGGCTGAACTATTCTGTGTATGGCACCCTTTTCTAGCAAACTGTCTACTTCCTGTCTGTCTGATTGCTTCCGCCTTGCGGGGATCCCCTGGCAGTGCCCCCAACGGGGGGGGGGGGGGGGAAGGACACTGACAGTGGCGGTGGAGATGTCAGTGGTTCATGTATTCTGTAACTGAGTGTCACCACCTGGAGCGTCCAGGGATTGGTTACCCACTGCCTCCAAGCCAAAATGCATCGGTGCAATCTGCATGTGACAGGGATCGGTGGCCATGGGTTTTACAGTTGCAAGAGGGGGGGTCTCTTCTTCCATGAGGTGAGCTTCCCCGGGGATCACTAGGGTTACCAAGTTGTAGACTGATCCCTTGCCGAACATAAGACCGATCCCCCAACCACCCCCACTCCCGTCGCAGAGGTTAGTGTTAAACATGCTTTCCCCACTGCCGGGGTTGATGACCACCCGAGGAGGAGGAGCCAACACCTGGTCCTCTCTTTCTCAGGGGCGCCCTGCTACTCTTCCCTCTCGTGGAAGGGTATGAGCGCTTGCCTCCTGGCTGACTCTGGTTAGCGTAGCTAGTCCTAGGGCGTTGTGTTTTCTGTGCTTGCGGCGCCTTCCATTTACCCTTGGCAGCGGCCAACTGGCTAGCGGATTCGGCTTGAACCATTTGGTTTGTTACACCCCAGTAGCTCGGCGACTGCACCCGCTATCTCCCCATCAAAGAGGGTGGGTGATGTCCAGTTTGTGTAACTGAGGCGGTGGCGTACTCTCTGACTCAGTTCGCCGCTGAAAACACACGCGTTTAAAACCGTGTCCCGCTGCACAGTAGTAGCCCTGGCCAAGAGAGCCAAATGACACTGGAGGATATCGCACATAGCCCTGTGGTGGCCTACCATTAACTGTGTCGCCTGGTCTAGGAGGCGCGTGTGTTCTGCGTCTGAGGTCTCAGAGTCCTGGGCGTGCACAAGAATGCACCCCAGCATGGGGCTTTTGGCGTTACCTCCTCTGCAGCTGACCAACGACCGCCCCTCAACACTGTCTGCGCGCCGTCCTCCATGCTCAGCACATGGCTGGACCAGGGGAGACATGCAGGTGGGGTCGATCTGGATCCCGGCGCCTGCGATCCCATCAGCGTAGAATAGACCGTGAGTGGTTGCTTTAGGATCGAGGATGGAGGAATATACATTGTGTCACCTGGACTGCTAATATTCCGCATCACCCCAATGGCGTGGCTTACCGAGTCATTACGCATTGTGGACTCTGAGGGACCACCCGAGGTACTCACTGTATCCGACGGGAACAAACTGCCACCTCTCAGCTTAAAAATGTGGGCGAGAGCATGTTCGAGAGTGCGTCTCATGACAGGGTCGGTTCCCTCTGGGAATGTCCGTGGGTCGGCAAGAAGGGAGTCGAAACCCACAGCGGAGCTTGGACTTGAAGGTAAAATATTAAGTCCGGTACTGCGCGGGAAACCTTGGCTGGTTGAACCCAGGGGGGAGGTATAATGTATGCCCTGCCCCGACAATGGAGTCTTGGTGTTTTGTGTCTGAGGTCCCCGAGGAGACCCGGTGTCACTAGCCTGAGCCTCGGCCTTCCCCAAGTTAGCGGAGGGGTCACGGCTGGGAACAGGGGGCTCTCCGGAAGAGACATGTCTAGAATGCGAACGGTGCTTTCTATGTTTCCTCCTGCTTGCCGGCTGAGAGGCCGCAGTGGAGACAGCTCGCTCCGACTGCATTTGGTCTACCCGGCCTGCCAGGGACGCAATCTGCCCCGATAGACCTTCGACCAACGCCTTTATTTCAGCGGCAAAACTGGCGCCGAGCGAGGATGGTTCCACAACGAGACCCTGGGCGGGCCCCATAGGAGGAAAAACCTCTAGGACGCAGCCTTGCTGTTGCCAGTAAAGTCGGGTAACCCACTGCCTGAAAAATCAGACTGCAGATGCCCTCAGGCCTTTTGCCTTGTATCCCGGTACGAGTACCGTTAGCCGAGCGCGAGAATTTCCCACTCATGCCAATGCACAACTCACCCATACCTATGCCGGTTCACAAATATTTCTGAAAAAAAATCCTTAATTTGGTAAAAGAATATCCAATTATGTCGAACTATTATTTGAATGAGAAATCTGATTTATACTGCCTATACGTGTGCAGTTTATTTTTGTGATTTGCTTCCTTGTTGTCACCATTTAACACTTCTGTAGTATTTTTCTAGGAATTTAATTTCAATTTTTATCATACACGTATGAGTGATTGTCCGTCGCCGTTCATGTCAACTTTTTATTTTTTCAACTTCTTCTTGAAAACTACAAGTCTGAATGCTTTGATACTTGATGTATATGTACCTTGGGTAGACCTCTCTTAAATTTATTCATTTCATGATGACATCTTCAATTCTCTAATTTTTTGGTAAAAAGTGATATTTTTGACTTCTTGTTAAAAACAGAAAGTCCAATTGCTTTAATACTATACATATTGTTCATTTTCCAATGATATCTTCTGTTCTTTAACTGAAATGTGCATTG